ACGTACCTGCTGCCAATGTTTGAGGGCCTGAGTTCAATTCCTGGGACCTCCCTCAGTTTGTCCTCTGACCTCCACATGAGTGCCATGGCACATACATACATACATACATACATACATACATACATACATACAATAAACACAATAATAGATATTAGTCTATCTAGGCTGCTAAAAAAAGTCTGAGACTAGGTACTTATAATAAGAGATTTTTAGTTCAGTTCTAGGGTCTGTTAAATTCAAGATCAAGGTGTTAGCAGACTTTTTGTCTGGTGAGGACCAGCTCCTGGATTCAATGACATGGTCTAGCTCTGTCCTCACTGAAGGAATGGGCACAGTCCATCCACCTTTGCCTTCTCATTACTTCCCAAAGGCTCCATCTCTCTTTTCCTCCATTTTCAGTGTCTATTACAGGCCGAGAGGCCCTTATCTGAAATGTGTGGGACCAGAAGTGTTTTAGATTTTTGGATAAGAGATGTTCATCTGCACCTCCTTTCCCTCAAGCACATAAACATGCTCAAATCTCTCTTATAGATAAGCTCTCAGGACTAGGCTCCCTGGAAGGGGCACAAGCTTGTGGTCTTTTGTCACAACTATCAAATCCCACTGCTTTCTATTTTATGATGACCTCTGCTGCCTAGCACTCCTGGGAGTGGGGGAACATTCTCTCCAAGGTCATCTGTTCCCAAGATGTTCCCAAGGTAGGCCATCATGTCTGTCTTCATCTGGCTCCTCCCTTGGTAATTACAGTCACACATTGCTTAATAATAGGGCCAACTCTGAGAAGTGCAGTTAGGCGATTTCATCTTTATGTGAACCCAACAGTGTGCTCCTACGCAAACCTACATGGTGTTAGGTCAGTCGCTCGACCTGGCCTCTTGATGTAGTCAAGAGACTATATACAAGATGCATGAAGCTGCTGCTGCTAGTATAACAGTGTTGTAGTGTTTGGCTGGTTTGTTTTTGAGGCAGGGTCTCCAGTATTCCAGGGTGGCCTCAACCTGTTATGGAGTCAAGAATGACCTTGAATTTTTGAACCTTGTGCTTCCCCTCTGCAAGGGATCATAGGGATGTATAATCATGCATAGTCAGTATAAGTGGTGCTGGGAATCAAACCCAGGGCTTCATGTGTGCTCTATCAACAGAACCACATCCCAAACCCAATGTCAGTGTTTTACAGTAAACATTTTTTTTTCTAGGTAGGAGTAGGCATGAGGACCTGAGTTTAGATCTTAGCACCCACATAAAATAGGCATGGCTGGGTGTGCCTGGAACCCTAGTGCTGTGAAAGTAGAGAGAGGAGGCTCACCAGGGTTTGCTGGCCTGGCAGAAACCTACCTCCAGGTCTAGTGAAAGATCTTGTCTCAAAGGAATAAGGTGGAGAGTGATAAAGCTGGGTACCTGACATGCACACACAGGCACACACACACACACACACACACACACACACACACACACACACAGTTACAGATACACCAAAAAAGGACCACACTGATAAAACAATTAATTATCTGGATGAAAAATTCAACTTTCGTATTGCTTAAGTGGGAGCTGGGAATGGAAATAGTTTACTATTAGCGCTTTCATAGCATAACACTGATCTTTACTGTTTTTTCAGAAACTTTGAAGAATCTGAAGATGAGTTGAGGAATGAAGTAGTAGAATCCCTAGAAAAACTTGCTATTTCCAAAGAAGAAAGGAAAGAAGCTTCCAGCTCCCCTAAGAATGCTGAGGAGTCAGGAGGGAGAAGGATAAACGTGCCAGGGTCTGGAGACTGCAGGGCAGGTCTGGAGGCTGATTTGATCTGCACTGCTGAGGAAGACCCAGGTTCACAGCCATCAGCCACAGTGTGCAAATATGAACACGGTAATCTCTCTCATTGCTAGAGATCCCTGTGCTTTAAAAAAAATACATTATTTCACAGAGCACTGTGTATAAAATAAGTGAAATAATCTTGAGAGACAGCTCTTATGACTTTTTAGGTTTAACTCTATTAAGTTGAAATTATTTGTTCAGATCTACATTTATTTTATTTTGTAAATATTTTATTTTTATTTTGGGGGGCTCTTTTTGAGACAGGGTCTCCCTGTAGCCCCAGCTGGCCTGGAACTCACTATGTAGACTACAGCTTTTACATATCTGAACTACTCATTTCAAAGTCTATAGAGTCTAACAATGAAATCTTCTTAGGAATCACAAGCAAGACAGACACCCCCCCCCATCCCTTTTTTCTTTTTCTACATAAAAATTCCTGGGCATATGGAATCATGTTAGTAGACATTTGAGACCACATGAAGAGAACAGTATCCAAGAAAATGAAAACTAAAAAATCACTTTTTTTTTCATGTTTTTGAGACAGGGTCTCCCTGTAGCCCCAGCTGGCCTGGAACTCAGTATGTAGACCAGGCTGGCCTTGAACTCACAGAGATCTGCCTGCCTCTGCCTGCCAAGTGCTGGGATTAAAGGTGGGCGCTCCTATGCCCCACAAAAGATTACTACTTTAAGTGATGTTTAGATACAAGTGGATTTTGTACTAAAGATCTAAATGATTCTTAGCTACAAATATAGTACACAGGGGCTGGAGAGATGGCTCAGCAGTTAAGAACACTGACTGTTCTTACAGAAGACCCAGGTTCGAATCCCAGCACCCACATGGCAGCTAACAACTGTCCATAACTCCAGTTCCAGGGGATCCCACAGCCTCTTCTGTCTTCTGCAGGCATTGCACGACACGGGTGCACTTATCTACATGCAGGCAATACATGCATACACATGAAATTAAAATATATATTTTTAATTCTTTAAAAAGAAAACCAAAAACATAGCACACAAAGCCTATGGAAAATATATGTAAAAGTTGTAGTATAAGTTTAAATAGAAGTGTGAATCCCCTCAGCTGTGGGATCAAAGCACAGAATGCTGGCCCACTGTAAACCAAAGTACCAAGGACTTACTAGTCACTCAGAAGCTTCCTGAAGACAGTAAAGACCAGTCTTGACATTTTCACAGGTCCAGTAATCTAATCAGAAAACAAATACCTACCTTACTAGAGACAATGGAAAAGAATATATATGGAAATCATATTTTATGTTTTTAATACATGAAAATCATTTTGAAAAAGTAGATTAAAAAATTCCAAAATCCTTTCTTTGACCACATCCTGTTTTGTTCATTCCAATTAAAAAAAAAATTAGTCTGTTTTCTTAAAGTCTATCCATAAAACAAGAAAGCAGAGTGAGCTGAGGGTCAGAACACCTGGTTATAATCTTGATTTTGTCACTAACAGTTCTGTGACAATGAAGGAACCTACTTTAAATTGATTTTATCTGTGAAGTTGAAAATAAAGAGAAAATAGAGAATATGTATGAGATTCTTTCACGATTTTTCTTTGTAAATTGAATCATCTCCAATACAAAACTGTGTTGGTGTGTCACACCTGGGACAAACTGTTTTGTGGCTTCTGATTTGATGATGGAAGATGTGCCACGATAAATCAACAGTGTAACTGCGAGTAGATAACGAAGCTGGAAACTGCGAAGGAGTGATGAGCCTCTTTTGCATGCCCCTAATTCAGGTATAAGACAGAAGGTGGGGGGACAATGCATTTAACTGGAAGGATGTATGTATAAAATGATAAAGTCTTTAGTCATATCTGCACACACACACACACCAGTTGCTTTTTGTTTTGTGACTGCTGTGCTAGGGCTCAAACCCAGGGCCTCACACATGCTAGAGCTACTTACTGAGTTGTGTCCTGAGCCCCTACACACATGCTATTCAGAACAGAAGTCATGTAAAATGTATCCCAATCCCTAGCTACTGGCTTAGAAACCAAGAAGCTACACACACAGTTGTAATATTTTGTAAGACAGGAGTTCAGAAAACATTTACTATTGGTTGTTACTTTGAACTAAAGCAATGTTTGTAATCTTCGAAATAGTTTCATACATTTTCTATGTCTAATGTCACAACTCTAAAAGGTCATAAAGACAAGTAATAACAGCTTGATTTCAGATAAAGAACCCAAGAATCTGAAAAATTAAGGAGCAGCTTTAGTGATAGCAGATCAGATATTTTAAGTGATGAGGTCGAGGTCTGGCCCAGCATGTTAAGTACCATTTGGCACTTTTTTCAGAATGTCACCTTGCCATCTTACAATGTGTGATCACAGATACTGAGGGGACAGTCTGAGACCACATCATCACTGTCAGAAAAGCAACTTAAGCTTACTATTTTTTTGACTGAATTAAAGCTGCCTTCTACCTGTTTCTGAAAGACAGAGCTGTTAAGGGATAAGACCCATACAAATGTGCTGTGATAGCACTAAACAAAACCAATTCTCACACAAAGGCAGGTATGGGAATGGGTGCTGGTGGTGTGTTTACCTCAACACATTAACATAAACCCAGGAAGCCATCAGTTCATCCTATCTCTTTGCTTTAGGAATAGGATTAGATGTCTGTTTCAAGTTTCTTTCCCCTTTTTAGAAAATTATTAGGTATTCTTTAAAAAGGGTTAACCATGCTGTTATTTCCTGGGACTTCTGGGACTGGGGTAATGTAGCTCGGTGGTAGAACACTTGCCATGAATCCTGGGTTCAAGCTCTTAATACCAAACCCTACCCCCCAAACAGGTTTAAGAAATAGAAGACTAATTCTAAGTGTTAGCAAGTTATTTATCTTTTACTTCATTTCAATATTTCCTTTTACTCTAAAAGGAAACTTTGAGCTGAGGTTTAGCTGTTTGTTGGCTTGTTCTGTAGTGCTGGGGACTGATGGTGGCTGTGCTTTTGTTTTGCCCCATGACACTCCATGTTGGATCTCCAGCACCATACACCAAAGTAAAAACCCAGGAATTTTTCTTTTATTTTCTAAAGTAAAGGGACTAAGAGCTGAGGATGTAGGTCCATTGGAGGCATGCTTGCCTGCAAGAGGCTCTGGGTTCAATCCCCAGCACTGTAGACCCTGGGTATAGTGGGGCACTCCTGTAATCCTACCACTTTGGGAGGTGGAGGCAGGAGAGCCAGAAGGTCAGGGATTAAAAAAAAAAAAAAAAGAATGAAAAAGAGAAACAGGATTCAAAAGATACAGTATCTAAAAATTCAGGATGGCTGATTTTCTTCTTTGGGATCTGTTATTTTCAGATTTTTTTTTTTTAACTTTTTAAAAAATTTTTATTTTTATTTTATGTGTATGGTGTATTGCCTACATGTAGGTAAGTGCACCCATGTCATGCAATGCCCTCAGAGGTCAGAAGAGGCTGTCAGATCCCCTGGGACTGGAGTTATAGACAACAGTTGTTAGCTGCCACGTGGGTGCTGGGATTCGAAACTGGGTCTTCTGCAAGAACAACCAGTGTTCTTAACCGCTGAGCCATCTCTCCAGGCCCCTTTTTCAGATTTTGAGATCAAATACTAATCTAAAATTTTATATCAAGCTTTATGACATTATCTTTTCCATGTAGGTAACTTTGTCTTTTTGGTTAAATAAATACCTTGTCTATATACATATTGCTGAGAATACAACTCAGACTGCCTTTATTATAATAGAGAATGGATTTAGAAAAGTATTTACATATGAAGGTGTTTGGAAATGAAGCATTTCATTTTATTTTTTGGTGCTGGGGATGGAACTCAGGGCCTTGCACATATTAAGCACAGACTCTACCATTGATTTACATCCCCATTTGTGCTTTATATAAACTATCCAGTGGGGTGTGGTGGTGTATGCCTTTAATCCCAGCACTTGGGAGGCAGAGGCAGGAGGATCTCTGTGAGATCCAGGCCAGCCTGGTCTACATAGTGAGGTCCAGGCCAGCTGGGGCTGCAGAGAGACACTGTCTCAAAAAGGATAAAAAAAAAAAATTAATTAAAAAAAATTCCATAATTTTTACAGAGCTAGCATTATTTAAATAACTTCTCCACAGAAGACAGGAATGACACTTCAAACTCTTGGTCTGAGAATCTGCTTACAGATGCTCTAGCATTTTTTCTGATTTGAAGTCTCTTTTCTGCAGACAGAGAAAGAATGTGAGCCATGGCGTCCGCATAGCCTTCTTCACTCTCAGCCAGAAATCCAGTTATGTGTCCTTCGTGAGGGATGACGATGTCAAGCTTCGGCCCCCCTGAATTGTGAGCAAGGATAATTGTGCCAGCTGCCATGCACTCCACAATTCCTAAGAAAGAAAAACAGAACCAGGCAGACCTTTAAGTTCTTGACGAACAAGGACAAACAGAAACCTCCAAAAATTTTTAGAGACCCGTGAAATATTTCCCTGAATGTCTACAAATTTACTTATTTAGCATCCATGGTACAAAGATATTTTTTTAAGGGTTAAGTTTTGCATGTGTGTGTGTGTGCGTGCGCACTTGCCAGTCAGGTACATGTGGAAGCCAGAAGCTGAGTTGTGCTATCTTGCTCGCTCTATTGCTTTCTACTTTATTTGTGAGACCGGGTCTCTCACTGATCTTGGAGCTCACCATTTTGGCTAGACTGGCTGACCAGCAAGCCAGAGATCTGCTAGTCAAGCACTTTACCTGGTGAGCTACCTCCCCAGCACTCATTAGTTTAAGGTTTGTAGTTTCCAAAGCTTTACAATACTGCTGCTTCATTTTTTATTACAACAGACAAGCAAATGGAGGCCTGAAAAAATCATATATAAAATCAGTATACTGGGGCTGGGGATATAGCTCAGTTGGTAGAGTGCTTGCCTAGCATGCAGGATCCCTAGAGCCACATAGAAACTGGGCATGGTGGAGCACACCTATAATCACAGCACTTGGGAGGTGCAGGCAGGAGGGCTAGGAGTTCAAGGTCATCCTTGGCTACAGAGCAAGTTCAAGGGCAGGCTGGGGTTGCCTGAAACCCTGTCTCAAAAAAAAAAAACCAAAAACAAAAAACAAAAAACCAAGTTACAGAGCCTAGAGTGAGGAGGCTACATCACTCCTACTCTCACAGCCACGCAGTACACTGAACTCCATGGGGAGTGCCAAATGGGCACTGTGCCACTCTGTGCCTCCATGAGGAGAAACAGCTAAACACTGGCAAAGGCGATCCTAGAAGCCGAGAGTTAAAATGTCATCTGACGCATTCTTTGTGCAAACTCGCCCTGAGGAGCACAAGAAGCACCGGATGCTTCAGTCAGCTTCTCAGAGTTTTTCAAGAAGTACTCAGAGGTGGAAGACCATACCTGCTGAAGAAAGAGGAAAGTTTGAATACACAGCAAAGGCAGACAAGGCATGTTACAAAAGAGAAATGAAAACCTCTATCCCTCCCAAAGGGGAAACGGAAAACAAGTTCTAGGATCCCAAAGTGCCCAACAGGCCTCTTTCAGCTGAATATCACTCCCAAATCAAAGGAGAATGTTCCAGCTTTTCCACTGGTGATGTTGCAGTGAAATGGGGTGAGAGGCACAACACTGCTGCAGCTGACAAGCAGCCTTAGGAAAAGAAACTACTGAGCCGAAGGAAAACACAAAAAGGAGATCACTGCCTACAGAGCTGGAGGAAAACCCGATGCCGGAAAAAAAGGGAGTTGTCAAGGCTGAAGAGAGCAAGAAAACAACGAAGATCAAGAGGATGAGAAAGAGGATGAAGATGATGATTAAAAAGTTTGTTCTAGCATATTCTTCTTATCTATAAAGCATGTAACCCTCCTGTACACAACTTACTCCTTTTAAAGAAAAATACTGGAATGCCAGGCTGTGTAAGATTTGTTTTTAAACTGTAGTGTCTTTTTTTGTATAATTAACACACTACCGAATGTGTCTTTGGATAGCCCTGTTCTGGTGGTATTTTCACTAGCCACTAGCCTTGCCTGGTGCAGTATGGGGGCTGTAAACTGGCATGGGAATTTAAAGCAGGTTCTTGGTGCATAGCACAGATTAGTTATATATGGAGATGGTAGTTTTTTACATCTTCAGTTGTCTCTGATGCAGCTTATACAAAAATAATTGTTGTTAACTGAATACCACTCTGTAATTGCAAAAACAAAACAAAACTGTAGCTGTTTTGTTGACATTCTGACTGCTTCTAAGTAAATACAATTTTTTAATTTAAAAAATCAATACATAACTGAGACTATACAATGCTGACAAGATAGTAAAAGATGAACGAGTATCACAAAGGTAAAAGACATCAAAAAGCAAACTTTTAAGAGTTCAAATAACCTCAGCAGGTAACAAAAATGTAAACTGCCTTCCTGAGAGGAAATGTGCCGCTGCTTATGCTATGGCCTCGATTTCTAGCACATCTGAGACCACTGTGTGCCAGTTAGGTGGAAGTTTTGGTGAGGTCTGCGGAATGATTTAGGTGAGGGTGAAAATTACCCCACCCAGCCTTTCTTAGCTGCATTTCTCTTTCACCGCCTTTCAAATAAACCCACCACCAGTGCAGGTTGTACTCACCAGCTCCATGTGTTCACTTCGAACCCAGTGCTCAGTTTCCCACAATTGGACCTTTGCTACATTGCTCTCTCCCCAGGTCACTGATGACCTCATCCTTTTCTTTCCCCAGTGTGCAGCCTGGGGCCCACCTGCCCTTTCTCCATGCTGCAAGGGGCTGTCCCTGCTTTCTGTGGTCTCCTCTTCCACCTGCCTATCTGTTCCTGCTCTCAACACTTTGCTGAGAGACTCTCCACCCCTACCCCACCCTGACCTGCAATCTTAGCTACATCTCTAGGTGCCTAGGGCACTCTCTGGATTCTCATCCACTTCCAATTCATACTGAAAAAGACCGACTGTACACATCACTTGCAGGTCCCACTGATGACCAAATCCATACTCACTAAAACTCACCTGCTCACCTGCTGTCCCTGCTCTTCGGTTCCCTCTCTCAGGACAGCCAATACCAGTGGACAGTTGCCCAAACCCTAAGTCTCAGGTGTTCACCTCCCACTCCACTTCCTCCCTCAATTACCATAACTACCCAGTCTGACAGGACCTCAGAATCTCTTTCAAGTTGCTTTTCTTATCAGGTCTAAAGACAACTGAACTTGCTGCTTCCAGGTCTTGCTGTCCTTGACCTTTACCCACCCTCTTCCCACAGAGCAGCTTAAGCTGGCCTGGATCTCTTCTTGGTCTCGTTCTTGCCCCCTTGAGACTCTCTAGGTAAACTCTGAATCCCCTGACAGCACCTGCTGCACAGTGCTGCTCTCCCTGCTGGGTATAGCCTTCTAATTATTGTTCAGGACTCAGCTTGAGTGTCACAATACTGCTTTAGGCAACTGTTCCCTCCACTTGAAGTGTGTGCTAGGTGTTTCTCAGCAGCCTTCAAGCACTTACCCAGCATAGCACCTTCTCAGGGCTGGAGGTTTCTGAAGTTTTGGAAAAGCAGCCCTTTTTTTTCAGTCATATTGCCAGTAACCACCCCAGTTCCTGGCACAGGGTGCTGTCAGTAGAAGGAATCACAGGAAGTCAGACTCCTTGCAGAACACTGGGTCAGTAAGTTCTTGCTGAATTCCTGGGCATAGATTTGTCCTACTAATTTTATACTTTAAAAAGTATAGCAGGTTATGATTTTAGCCAAGTGTGGCAGCTCACACCTGTAATCCTAGCACTTAAAAAGGCTGAGGTAGGAGGATTGTGAGTTTAAGACTAGCGTGGGCTATATAGAAAGTCCGAGGCCAGTGTGAGCAACTAATGAGACCCTGTCTCAAAAAAGAAAAGAAAAGGGGCTGGAGAGATGGGTCAGTGGTTAAGAGCACTGGCTGCTCAGGCAGAGGACCCAGGTTTGGTGCCCCGACCCACATGGTGACTAACAACCATACATAACTCCAGTTCTAGGGAATCCGACACCCTTTTCTGGTGTTTGTGGGCATTGCAAACATGGGGGCACGTATATGCAATATTCATACACATATAAAAATTTTACAAAAAAGAAAAGGTACAAAAGAAAAGGTATGAAAAACGTGAGTTGAATCAAACTAGGTATGAAACAGTACTTAATTTTACAGTAACATGCATGTCTAACATGAGGTCAGAATACAGACAGCAATTTGTGGTAGAATAAACAAGAAACAATACAGGTCAAAGAGACTGAAATTGAACCCCTACAATGGGGTTTGGAGAAAGACAAGTGGAGACCATCACAAGTCCGTTTAGAATCAATGAGAGACTTAAAAGAATTCCTGGGGAAATCCCATCTGGCAGCAGTGGGTCTCAGCTTTCTATGCACAGTGCAATCACCTGAGCAGCTGTGCTCAACTATTACCTGGGCCCCAGCCAGGGATTCTGATTTGCTTGTTTAGTGGGATTAGCGTGGGGCCCAGGCATCTGTACCGAGACATAGAGGGTTTAGACTGGGAGAGAAGGCTGGAGAGCTCAGTGGTGGGACAATAGCTATGATATACAAAGCTATCTGTTTAATCCCTGGCACTGAAAAAAGCACACAAAAAAAATTCAGATGGGAGAGAAAACTCTGCAGTTAAGAATGGCTCGTGTTGCCAGGCATGGTGGCACACGCCTTTAATCCTGGCACTTAGGAGGCAGAGGCAGGTGGATCTCTTATGAGTTGGAAGCCAGCTCGGTCTACATAGTGAGTGCCAGTCCAGCTGGGGCTACAGGGAAAACCTATGTCAAAAAGACAAAAAAAAAAGGCTGCTATGGTGGTGCACACCTTTAATCCCAGCACTCCAGAGGCAGAGGTACTGGATTTCTGTGAGATCCGAGGTCAGCCTGGTCTATATAGCGAGTTCCAGGCCAACTACAGGTAGACCCTTTCTCAAAAATCCCCCCAAAACAAACAAAAAGGATGCTAAGCTGTGGTGTTGGCTAGAATTTCAGAGTTTCTACATCTTTTGTTGTGCTGAGGATTAAATCCAGAACCCTGTGTACTCAACACTGAGAATGCTCCAACTCAAGTGTTAATATCAACTAGTATCAACTACTGACTAATGAGGTTTCTATGAGAAAAGCACACTTGGTAGACTAGGGGAAAAAATTCAAGAACATTACCATTATATATATATATATATATATATTACGTCTTGCAATGCCAAACAACTCTAAATGTTTCAACTCACCAATCCCAAAATGCTCATTCCACATGGTATGCAGTCCAATTGCTGCTTCAGACAAGTAATTCTTTAACTCATCAAATGAAATGTTTATTTTAAACTCCACATCTTCTTGAACTCCTAACTCCTCAGACAGGCTTCTCAGCTGGTTTACCCTAAATTCATCATCTTTGTTACGACACCCTCCAATAAGGATGAGTTTAAGTGAAGGGAATGACTCAGCTCTCTTCTTACCGAGCAATTTAGCAAAGGCTCTGATCTGCAAAGGGTGATTCTTTTCAGGCCTGAACTGGCCAATGGAAACCAGCAACTGTCCTGAGGTCATCTTTTTCTCGTGTAAGGGAATGTCCAGAAATGTCTGCACATCACAAGGTGGATAAACAATGCTAGTGCAATGCCCAACTTTCCACAGAGAGAGAATATGGTTTAGTGTCCAAGAAGAATTCACCATGACTGCATCACTGCAAGAACCAACAAGGCCATAAATAAAAGCAAATAAATAGTAGTAGATGAGCTTTGCTCTGCTGAGCAGAGGGTTCTTGGTGATGAACGCTGCATTATTAAATCCAGTATTTTGATTCTTCACTACAGAGAGCATGTCAGTGCTGATAGTGGGATAATGAACATAGCTTGCAACTCGACAACCCCCTATGTATTTAAACAGAGGGAGTGTGAAGGCATATCCCATTGAATCAATGTAAACATCAGGAACACACTGCATCAGAGCTTCCCAGCCAAGAAGAATGGATCCAAGACTTTGGCCCAGCAATGTGAAGTGAGGATAACGACCGTCTTCCACAAGGTAGCGTTTCCTTAAGAAAACAAACTGCACTGGGTGAACTAATCTGATATTAAATCTTCTGAAAGCACCTTCTAGTATCTGTTGACCACTGACATTAACATCACCAGTATAAACGACATAAACTGCTTCAGGGTACCTAAAATAGAATGCAATATTTAAGACTGTTATTAATTTAGGTTAAATTAAGCCAAATGTTATAATTTCCTTGTAATTACGAGCAAGCTTTTTTCTATACTAAAATGTTTTCCACTAGTTTTCATTCACCGCATTTTTTTTTTGAGAAAGAATCTCCCTGTAGCCCCAGCTGGCCTAGAACTCACTATGTAGACCAGGCTGGCCTCGAACTCACAGAGATCCACCTGCCTCTGCCTCCCAAGTGCTGGGACTAAAGGCGTGCGCCACCATGCCTGGCTCAATCATTGCATTTAAAGTAGATTCTACCCTTCCTTGAGTTTTCACTGCCAATCCTTCAAACGAGACCATGTGCTAGTCTTCTTCTGTCCCCTGTTGAAATGTAGTCCCCAATATAGTGGTATTAAAGGAAGGAAGGGAACTCAAAATGAGATTAACAGGACTTGTGCCTTTCCAATTATTCTTGGTGCTAAGGATGGAACCCAGAGCCTTATTTATATATGCATTACCCGAGTTACACTCGTAGAAGTACCTTTATAAGAGGCCGAAAGGAGTCTGTTCACTCCTTCACAACATTAGGATGCAGTAAGAAGTTGTAATCTGTGAAGCACAAAGTAAATCTTATCTGCTGGCATCTTGATTATGGGTTCCCCAACCCCTTGAACTATGAACAATAAATTTCTGATAAACTACCCAGTCTAAGGTATTTTGTTATAGCCAGATGATTAGACGAAGGTACTGTCCTAGTTTGTTTCTCCACTGCTGTGACAAAACACTCTGACCAATACCAACTTGGGGAGGAAAGGGTTTATTTGGCTTACATCTCACAGGTCACTGTTCATCAGGGAGCCCAAGTTAGGAACTCAGGGCAGGAACCTGGAGGCAGGCCATGGAGGAACTCTGCTCACTGGCTTACTCCTTGGCACCTGCTCAGCCTGCCTTCTTATGCAACACAGGTCCACCTGCCCAGGGGTGGCACCACCCACAGTGGGCTGGGCTCTCCCACATCACTCATCAAGAAGATGCCCTCAGACGTGGCCACAGGCCAGTCCAATAGAGGCAATTCCCCAGCTGAGGGTCCCTGAACCCAGGTGTGTCAAGTTGACACTAAAGCTGTCCAGCACAGGTACCATGTCTTCTACTTATTTGCTATTCCTTTCCACTAAGGATTTCAAATAGAGCAGATACCAACAGAAATTGATGACTTATCAATGAGAGCTTTTCATTTTTAGGAAGTACCAAAAAATTTGATTTTAAGGACTTTGGGACATGGATCAGCAGTAGAGCAACTGCCCAGCATGTACGAGGTCCTGAGTTTAACCCCTACCACCATAGAAAACAAAACAAAAATGAAACATCAATAAAATACTAATAAAAATTAAGTGTCTTGAGATAGGATAGTTCTTTTTAAAATATTTTATTTACTATTTTCATTTTATGTGTATGAGTGTATTGCCTGCATGTGTGTAAGTGCAGCTGTGTCATGCAACGCCTTTGGAGACTAGAAGAGGGAGTTGGATCTGGTGTTAAGGATGGCTGTTAGCTGCCATGTGGGTGCTGGGAATCGAACCCAGGTCCTTTGGAAGAGCAGCCAGTGTTCTTAACCATTGAGCCATCTTTCTAGCCCCAGATAATTCTTTTTTTAAAATTAGTTTTATGTATGTGTGTGTGTGTGTGTGCAGGTGCTCGTGGAGGCAAGAGAGCATTGGATCTTCTGAAGCTGGAGTTACAGGCAGATATGAGCCTCCCAACGTGGGTGCTGGGAACTGACCTCAGGTTCTTGGGAACAGCAGCAAGCACTCTTAACTGCTGAGCCATCTCTCCAGCCTGGAGAGGATCGTAATTCTAAAGTATTGTTTAGTGTTTTTTCCATTGTTTGCAATACACACACACACACACACACACACACACACATGCAAGCACATAAATATATATAACCAAGTCTAACTGGTTGAGGACTTTTAATTACATTCTCTTAAGAAATTAATTTCCTTAGGTTATTTTAAAATGCAGTTATACAGTTAACATATTGTTCCCTTCTTTACTGTAGCTCTTTCAAATTTCACCTACTTAGGTAATTCTAATGTGACAAATTCTCTTAAGCACATTATAAGTGACAGCATACAAAGGCATCCTGAGTAGTGATACAGGAATATTAGAACTATAGACTTGGGCTGGGGAGATGGCTCAGTATGGCTCAGTGATAAAGCATGAAGACCAGAGTTCTGATCCCTAGAGTTTGGATCCCACCTGGGCAGGAGCGGGCAGCTACTTGTAATCCCAGAACCCTGGGAGTACTGACAGTATCCCAGAGCAAGCTAGCTAGCTAGACCAGCTGGCACTGCTGAACTCCTGGTTCAGCAAGAGAAACTGCCTCAAAAAAAAGTGGAAAGCAATTGAGTAAGACACCCCATGTCAACTCTAGGTCTCCACATGCACAAGTGCACATGCACATGTATCCACAAATACATGTGGGAACATATATGCACACAGCATACACTAAAAATACCCCCCAAACTATTTGCTTCATCATTTTTTGTGGTGGGTATAAACCTTTCTCAATTATAAAGTATGTCAACTAAGGAAGAATTATGTCATTCAGAATAATTTGGGGTTGCTTTTCTAAGGGACTCTGGGGTTATATTCTCAACTGGATAGGTTTCACACTAACCCCAGAGATTTCTATATTTTCAGAACACTTCTTTTTTTGAGACAGTTTCCTGGTAGTCCCAGCTGGCCTGGAACTTACTATGTAGATTAGGCCAGCCTCCATCTCACAGAGATCCGCTTCCCTCTGCCTCTGCCATGCTGGTATGTGTTATCACAACCAGCCTTTTTAGAACACTTTTTAAAATTGTTTTTTCATATATACATTATATATGATGCCCTTTGATCCCACATTCCCCCGCCCCCCGTACATTATCTTATCCTCTTCCTTGTCCCACCAAACTCCTTCCCAACAAATCCCTTCCTTAGTCCATGGTTGTTTTTTTTTTTTTGTGGGGGGGGGTCCTACTGCATTTAATTAGGGTTGCCTGTGAGAGCTGGGGTTGGAGTTGTTTACTTAAACAAGGGCAATTTACAAGTGGCTATACCATCAAGGGCTATGACTCCCCTACCCACAGCAAGCATTAATTGCCCACAATTAATTCTTAGGAATGGGTGGGGCTCTAGGAGTCCCTCCACCAGTGTCACACAGGGATGGGCCCAGTGTCACACAGGTTTTGTGCAGGTAACCGCCTGCCTAGTGTTTTCAGCCAAGAAATGCAAGCATGTTTTGAAAGGTAGCTGCTTCTTTTTACTTCTGAGAGGGGGTTCTCTGTATGTTGCCCAGGTTGGCCTTTAACTGTTGGGGATCATTTGATCCTCCCATGTTAGCTTCCAGAGTGGCGGGAAGGACAGCTCTGTACCACTGTAAATATAAAATACAGTATGATCTTGTGAGGCAGGCACAAGCAATACTTTCTTCTTAAAGCACAGGTTTTTTTTTTTTTTTTTTTTTTTTAAGGAATTCCTAGTATAAAAGATAAAATTTGGGGTAATTTTTTTTTCTCCAAAGGCAGCAATATGGTATACCTACCTTTTTTGCAGTGCTCTCAAAGCACACCATAAAACCCTCTCTCCTCCACCGCCAGCATTGCAGTATGGATGGAAAAATGCAACCACCATTTGATCTTTCTCATTTTTGCTGGTTGAGACTGACTTTTTTTTCCTCTGTAGATGCTGTCTGATTATCCAAAGGACAATGACCAAACATATACACAAGACTCCACATACAGTTAGTCCAGGAAACAATAATGAGTAAAAAAATCTGAAATTAGAAGGAAAAAATGAAAATCAATTTGTTGCTGATTTAAAAAATAAGGCTACAGCCGAGCATGGTGGCAAAGACCTTTGATCCCAGCACTCGGGAGGCAGAGGCAGGTTGATCTCTGTGAGTTTCAAGTCCAGCCTGATCGACATAGTGAGGTCCAGGACAGCTGGGGCTACAGGGAGACCCTGTCTCAAAAAGACCACACATACACACAAAAAAATTAAGGATACAAATGAGAATCTACTTTTGCATACTCTCTTTATATATTAGTACAAAGAGAATTTCTATAGTTTGGTAACAAAACCAATTATTTTATGAGATTTTTTTTTCAGTGGTGGTGACTGAATTCATAGCCTTACACACACTCACATTAGGCAAACACTTTACCCTCAGTTCATGTTTACCCATATTTAAACAAAAGGCTTTAAAGGCCAGTAACAGTAATCCAAAGTTACTTGATCATTCATTAAACCAGCATTATAATGCAGATAGTTAACCATTATTACATACAAAGCACAGTTAGGGGTATTCCCTATGGCAGGGGAAAACATGAAGGTGCTAGAAAAGACTATCCCTTTCGGAATACTGTTAATAATTACTATAGAACTTGGAGGAGGACAAAAATGAAGGCAAAATCCTAAACCTTGGCAAGAATTTGTGTGGCCACCGTTCTTCAGGAAGCTATTATGCGAACTATAAATGTTCTACCTGAAAAACCTGAAAAGGTAGTTATTTAAAAAACTTTGGTAGGCAGGCCTAAGTTAATATCTATGAAATACTATGAAATCTATGAAAAATAGAATTATTTCAACAGTGGTATTTACCAGCTGGCTAGCATTCCTGCTTTTTATTTATTTCCTATTTGAACAAAAAAACGATGTTTTACGCACGTCTTAAAAATATTTTGACTTTAATATCAATCACGGAAAATAAGCCAACAGATGCTTAAGAAGTAGAGAATTCAACAAAAATTTCTATAATTAAGTCGCATGCGCTAATGGCAGCTTCATGGGGTTAAAGAGAAATTACGAGATGGAGGGATAAACCAGCTTGTTTTGGAGAAGAGACACGTTCGCCTAGGAAATCAGCTGAGCTCAGTCGGGAAGGAAAGTGAGGCAAGCATGTCAGGTCTGTGAAGGGGAAGGAAAGGCTGGAGCCCGGAAGGAAACGACCGCTCAGCCAGCAGTGAGGCAGGCGACACAATTGGGTAAACTGAGTCCGGAACCCAGTCAGAGTCTCCCAGGGCGCGGCCCCGCGAGCTCCGGCCACCGGCTCCTTACCTCAGCAGGGCACCCAGGTGCCCGCTCCCCGCCGCCGCCATCTTCCGCCCATCCGCCCACCCCGGAAGCGCTTGGCCGGTCTTCTTTTCTATTGGATCCTGAGGACGCCTGCTCGCTAGCCACGCCCTCACGGGACTACACGCGTCCCAACTGGTTGCCGGTAGCCGCTCCCACGGCCTTCTTTGCCAATAGAGTCGGCCGAGGCTCAGGCCACGCACCGGAGAGGCGGAC